CAGAGAGACATGGTGAAAGAAATGACAAATGCCAATGCACGGTGAAGGGGGAAATAGAAAAACTATAAAAATCAAAAATGAATTCAGAAGCACATAAATCTAGGCAAATGACCCTATTCTCCTCCCTGGAACTGAGTAAGTCCCTGCATTACAATGATTGATGCCATTTACTCAGCATCTACGCAGTGCTGAACCTGAGGGCTTCATGTATGATTTTTCTTACTCGATGTGTGATCTTAATCAAGTCTCCTGACTTCCCCTACTCCCAATTTTGTCCTGTAAAATGAGATGACAATGCCTTCTCTTAGGGCTGCTGAGATGAAGCATGAATAGCACTCAGCACAGAGAGGTGGAGGAATCAAGACTGTTGCAACAACTATGATTATGATCAAGGTCGGAAAACATCCTATTCAGCCCTTCCTAGGAGCCAGGCAGCCTTCCCAGAAGCACCCTGCCCGCCCTCGCTGGCTGCCTCTCCTCCGCAGCGCCAGCCATCCCCCAGCCACCACGCACCATCACGGGCAAAGGGGCAGGTGTCATGCTTAGGGCACAGTCCAAACAGGCAAAAATCATTTAAACAAAATTCCTTTTCATTTTTTTTAACTTGAGCCTCTCCAAAAATATTAAAAGGGATCCAATCCATAAACTTCAGGGATATTTCTCATATCCCCCTTTCTCACCACCCCAATTTCTCCACAGTCCCTCAGGAGATGCCTCCTCCGAAGGCTCTTGCTTGACCCCAGCCCTTTGAGCTTTCTCTTTCTCTCCCACCCCAAACCTGATCGAACAGAAAACCGTCTGGCCTCTGCCTCCAAACTGGGTCCCGAATCCAGCCAGTCCTGACCCTCCCTGCTCCCACGGAGGTCCACCTGCTCTCAGCCAGACTCCAGCAGGAGCTCCCACCCCTGCTCTGGAGTAGATGCTGGGATACGCCACCCAGTCCACCCTTCACACCAAGGCACTCACTTCCCCAGCTGCCAGAAGTGTCACCTGCTGATGGCTCTCAGACGAGTCCCTCCCAGGAATTGTCCTCAAAGAAGGCTGCCTGGCCTTCTCTCACAATAATTCCATCCCATCACATAAATGAATTCTCGGTGATCTCCCTTTTAACAGAAGCCTACCTTATAAGTGAAGACTGCCACCAATTTAAGTGCCCAAATTTACTTATATTAAAATCATATTTCTGCCTAGCGAAAAAAAGAAAGAAAAAGAAAAGAAATAATGCCCTTGGCCCAAACAAAGTAAGGCCTTCTCCAGGTAAACCTAAAGATCAAATGAGACCATGGAGATGGGAAGAGCTTCGTCCAGTCAGTGCCTGGCGCACAGTGAGTGCTTTATGAAAGGCAGACTCAGCTATTTTTTTTAAATTTCTTATGAATGCTCCTCAGTGCTAACCCAAGGAGAGACAAAATATGAGACAGGTTGATGCCAAAGGTGGTTGGGTTTAGTCTTTGATATTAGGTGAAATTTATTTTATTTTCCAATTTTCTACAATAAATTATTGGTTATATGATAATTACAATTTAAATTGCATAAATATGTATTTACCTAAGAAGAAGAAGGAATACAATGAGGGTACCATAAATTGGAGTAAAATATCTAGTAAATTAGATATAATTATAGAAAATACATATGAATTCATATGAACATGTAAAAAATTCTTATGAATATAAGAAAAAAATTCATTAACCAAGAAGTAACAGTACTCAAGTCAACACACACTTGAGTCAGGAATAAAAGATTCCATTAATGGAAATTATTATGAAAGAATTTTCTAATAGAGAAAATGGTGCATTTTATGCATCAATTTTTTTTTTCAAAGGCAGAAATAGGAAGCAAATTTAAATTGGGTCAGATTAGTTAACTTTTTCTATAAGGAGAAAATCATTTACCCAATCTAGGTGATTTATTTGATCCTACCAGGGTCTGACTTCTCTAGCTCTTTGGAAACTTTTCAAACTTAATGGTCACTTCTTCCTTTGAAGGGTGAGGTACACCAACTCTTGCACATACTTAAAGAGATTAATTTTTAAGCTCTCTCCTCTGATATAAAATGTACACCATGTCCTCTCCTCCTTTCACATTCAGTTCCCACTGGAGCAAACCGGGCATGAAAAGTTTGAAGGAGTTTCAGCTATTATTAAGGGAGGAATATTGTATGTGGCTGCAGATCAGCTGAAGAAATGGGTCAGAGGGATTTAAAACTAAGCCCATCCATTAATTGTTTTCTATATGTCAAACACTCTACATCCATGAGCTCATTTAAATCTCATAACAACCCTAAGTAAGTAATGCTGCAATCCTTCTTGTACATTTTAGGGCACTAAACCTTCGAGAAGTGAGGTAGCTAGTCCAAGATTACATGATGAGTAATAGCGGAACAAGGACTTGAACAAACACAGACTTCTGTTCAAAGCCTGTGCTCTTAGCCACTATCCTACACTCCATTCTAACCCCTCAGTGATACGACACAGGCGGAGATCTGCTGGGGCACACTGGGCATTGGCACCATTTCTCCCCTGAACTGCAGCAGACCCACTAACGACATGCATTTGCCCGCCACCTCATGGATGTGTCCTTGCTAACGCCTGGTCTGTTTCATACGTCTTCATACAATTTCATATATTGTGATAGCTTAATTTAAATATAATATTAAACATGTATACTGCCCAAACTCATTTCACTTGAACTGATGCTGAAAGAAGTATTAAACGAAGAGCCTGCATTACTTTACAAGCTCTCCTAGTGGTAACGACGACGTGAAGTTATTTTCAGTGTTCTGTGGGGCCAATACATCTGGGAAAATCTGCAACAGAGTTAACGTTTTGAAGCAGGAAAATAATATCAACTGGGAGAAAAGAGAGCAGAATTTAGGAAGGAAAAAAAAGTGTTTTCTTGATCCTTATCCCAAAATGAGTTTAGAGGAGAGAATCGGGGCATGCAGAAGTTATCCAAAAGTGCTATGTGAGAGCCCCAGTGATTGGCATGAAGACAGACAAACAAGCACCACCAACTCGCTCCTCCACCCCGCCCAGCCCAACTGGAGAGCCACGGCTCCTCGCCCTCCTTTCCAATGACAGCACCTCCTCCCGGCACACCCCGCTGCCCTGCAGACATCTCAGAGGCCTCTGTGAGCAGACTCTAAGCCTTGCTGTGGCAGCACTCAACCCTGAGAGACCTGGCTAAAGCACTTATCCAGAGAGGACAGGAAGTAGCAGTGACTGGAATGAAGACCCGGGTCTTCCCCGGACCCCAGTGCTCACAGTAAAAGAATAGTAACAGTGGTAATAATGAGCTAACATTTTGTGCACTTGCTGTGCGCTGAGTGCTGTTATACATATTTTACTCATGTTTTCATTTAATCCTCACAACTCCTCTATGAGGTCGAGGAAGTTCATGATAGAGGAAACTGAACAAAAACAAAACAAAAAGCGCTTTGCTGAGAGGTTAGGGGGAAAAATGTTGCACAAGAATTCACAGCTAAGAGGTAGAGCTTGGACACAAATACAGGACACTAGAGCTCTTTATTACGCTATTAAGTTTTTGGTAAGCTCGATTCGGTGGTGAAATACCAGGATGAGACTGATAACCTGTTGAAAGGATTATAGGAATATCAAGACAAGTCAGCTGCAATCCATCCTGTGCATTGCAGGGAGATGGTCAACAGCAGGAACATAATGTCAGCACCTCAGCTCATAAAAGGAACTGAACTCTATCAACTCCCCTCAGAGGACCAGCCCTGGGGAACTGACTCATACTAAGCCAGAATGCCAATTTATTAAGTTACAATGGGAACTAGAACTTGGAAGAAAACCAAAACAGCTGCTGCAGTTCAATTTACCTTCTTCCCAGATGGCAAAATTCACATGAGCAACCAAGTTGCCACCAGAAAGTTGGCTGGTCAACACTAAGGTACAGCACTAAGACAGTTTGATGCCTCAAGTCACAAAAACCTGAAACAATGGTAATATAAACACCAAGGCCAATCATGCTGGATTTCCTGGGATAATCCTATCTCCAGCACTCCTCTTACAGTCAGACCAAATGCTGTGAGTTAGTATTTCAAATATATATCATCTCTGCCAAGACAGTAAGTAGTATTTACTCTTTCTCATTTTCAAGGCTCTATATAGATCGCACCTTTCCAATAACATACTTACCTCAGAAATCACTATAATCTGTGGTTTCCTTATAATCATACTGCTTTTGAGAAAACACCCTTACCTGGTTGGATTCAAGAAGCCCACGTGTCTGTCAGACTTGGGAAGCAGTTTCCTCTTGTTATATACCACATTACAGAACAGTCCAGAACAGACCAGGCCTGGGTCATCCTCATCGTATTATGATGACTCCTTTACCTTCAATTTCAGATGCTGTTTTTTTTTGTGCCAAACTCTACACAACAAACACTTTCGGAATGACTAGAGACTTGACTTTGCTCGTCTGGGGAAAACGAGGGCATTAACCCAGACCTGGGGATGGGATGGAGGTTCCCAGGGTGTGAGCTGCACCTGAGGAAAAGGGGGAGGTCAAGCTTCACTCAGTAGCTATATTCTCACCTGGCTTATAGACTGAAATCTGGCAAAAGGGTTCTGCTGGTTTTTAAAAGTTTGCTAACCACTGATCTGGACTGGTCTTTCAAATATTAAATTAAGTTTTTGATTTTAAAAATTCACTTCTTCGACAAATATTTGGAAAGTGCCTTACTATGTGGCAAGACTCTGCTAGGTACAGTGGTTACAATAATGAACAATCTGTTAATAAATACAGACTGCCCTCAGGGGACCTACTATTTTTTGGTTTTTAAGAGATATAGATATATGTCCATGGGCAGAGTCACCAAAAAATTCTATTTTCTGTTTCCTCAAGTATTAAAATGAAAAGGCAAGATTCCTGACACTCTGCTGCCACACGTTTCCGCGGACACTAGCCCAAGTTTCCCTTCTCCTCTGCCCATTACTCAGAAGTCACAGGCTGAATGATACAATCAAAACCAGTTGTAAGTTGAAAAATCAAATTGGATTTTATTAAAGTATACATAAATTACCTTCATTTTTCTTTATTTCATCAGTATTGTGAAGTTAAGTGAAAATTAAGTAAAAAGCAGTAGTCATGGTACAGAGAAACGAAGGCTGAAAGGGAATCAGGGAAACCATATTCCAGTCCCGATCTGCCACTAACCAGTCTGGGAAAGGCCTTCGTGTCTTGTCCTCAGCTGTGGAATGAGGTGACTGAAGTACATGTAGTCTGGGGTCAACTACAGTTCTAAGATTTTGCTGTTGTAATTCTATTATTAGGAGTAAATGCTGAGGTTATCAATTGGGTACTCACAACGAAAAGGGAATAAACACTGAACTCAGGAATACTTTTAAGAAAGACAGGAGAAATATGGAAGTTTGCTTCTTAAAAAATGCATTGATGTTACTGCTTTATTCACACTAATTAGAATACATACACAAAAAATGTGTATCATGTCACTTTCAAAAAATTCCATGTTCCATGAGAGCTATGTAAACAATGTAAAATGTTTCTACTATAAAACAAAAGGAGAAAATCAGCATTCTCATGTAGTATTAGGAAAATATTTAGATAATTTGAATTTATGGTAAAACAAAGTGAAATATTACAGAGCAGTCTATTCATGAAGTAGCCTTACAGCCTAGAATCAATACATTTCCTATTTTCAAACACTTTGGTATATAAGTGAAATTAATACAAACCAAAAAAACAAAAAAAAGAAGGAAAAAACTCTACTTTGGTTATCACAGTAATTGGAACTTCAGCAACAAGGCAATTGCACAGCTACCTTGAATGAGAAAATGAAAGATCTCTCACTTGCTCCCCTCTCCTACTGGAGATGCACATGGCAGGAGAGCTCTTTGTAGGACTTTTGTAAAATAAGGTGCATTTCACTTCCTTCCGTAAGGAGCCTCTCGGCAATAGTTTAAAGGCTTTATAAAATCTCAGATTCGGCCTGAAATAAAAGTGATCTTGGTTACTTCCTCTTAACAAATACAAATGACCCTGCATTAAGGCAGCTCAGAACTACAATTCACATTTAAAGTAGAACATAAATTTCTTAAAAATCATATCACTATAGTTTCTCAAGAAGGCCACACTTGAATAAAAAGAACATATTGCATTAATAAAAAGAAAAATGCAAGTTTAATAGCCCATTGACAATGGTTTTTTAAGAAACAGAAATAACCATTTGCATGCTACAAATATTTCTTCATTGATATTACACATAACTTTAACAACTATACGACTAAACTGATCCGAGGAATTTTTCATTGCATCATTTTTATAACTCATTTTTCATCTATACTGTCCAAATGTGGTACTGATTTTTTTCATTGTCTTTTGGTTCTGTGTATTGTCTTAAATGAATCCCTACATCTGAGAATTATTTCTGAGCAACGGTCAACAAATCGCTTTTCTGTCATCCATCACAGGAGCAAACTGGGAAGGTCTTCTGAGGATTTTCCCAGCAATGTAAGTCATACTGGAACTTTCTGTGAAGACAAGAAAGTTTTAAAAAGAAAAAAAAAAGAATCCTCAGTAAACTTTACAAACTTGCAATCATAATACAATAATGCATTGTTGTCCCTTTCTGGAGTAAAAGAACACAAAGTTAAGTGCTCAACTTTACTAAACAAATACTGCTAGTCAGGCCCAGTAGCTCATGCCTGTGATCCTCGCACTCTGGGGTTGAAGTGGGAGGACTGCTTGAGCTCAGGAGTTCAAGACCAGCGTGAGCAACAGCGAGATCCTGTCTCTACTAAAAAATAGAAAAATTAGCCAGGTGTGGTGGCGCACGCCTGTAGTCCTCAGCTGGGAGGCTGAGATAAAAGGATCGCTTGAGCCCGGGAGTTTGAGGTTGCAGTGAGCTACAACTATGCCACCGCACTCTACCCAGGGTGACAGAGCGAGACTCTGTCTCCAAAACAAAACAAAACAAGACAAAACAAAAACTGCCAACCACCTCCAAGGAACACAGCCTATGAGCACAAGTCCTCAGGCCTTCCAAAGGGATGAGACTGAACACAGAGCATTCAGTAATATTAAGTAGCATGATAATATTCATAATAAAGTGAGTAAAGAAAGAAAGTAAAAGAAAATTTAAAGTTAGTTATCTGTCAGTTAATTTCAAGCTTTTTAAACAAAAATTCTAAAAAGGACAAAAAGGACATAAACATAAAACAATTATTCAGCAAAACTAATGCTTGAATGAACCACATAGAGAAGAACTGTTAATATTTTAAACGAATTATTTTATGATATTAGTATAGTATTAGGAACCCAAATTCTTGCCTAAATTTTACAGCCAAGCATAAGAAGAAATAAAAGAAAGAAATTACAGCGAACAAATTATTAGTATATGTGAAATAAAAGGTTCTAACTGAATCTTTCACATTAGGGAATAGCAAAATCCTAGTATTACTATTGTTTATGTTTTATTTGTTTTGCTTTGTTTTGTTAGGGAAGAAAGTATCAGGGGAACTTAATTTCAAAATTCATTTGGGATAATGAGAATTTGTACTGCCAGACATTAAAAAGCATAAAGTTACAATTATTAAAACACCATATTTCACCCAATCTAAGGCATCGCCACTTGTAAGATATACCATTGTTTTATGTACCATGAAAAACAAAGATGCCCAGGAAAGGGAGTCTCAAAGGAGACAGAGACCCTCACAAGAAGTGGGACATCAAATGGCTAACAGCCTTGATGAAGGGTAAAAGAAAACCACCCACCATGCAGAAGAGATGGCAAAGAAGCCTGCGCACCTCTTCCTGACAATGGCAAGAGAGAAAAATAATTCCTTGATATGTGAACTCATACTCCTACCCTACCCAACCTGCAAATTTTGTGCGCTGAATTCACACTACCAGCACAATCCAAGAAAACCTCAAGCACAGAAATTAACTTAAGCAGACTCAGGCTGGTAATCCCCGCCCCGCTCCACCTCCCAGTGACTGGCAGAAGAAAATACACGTCCTTTCATCCAGGCAACAGCTGATTTTAAGACACACTTCAAATTTGAAGACGATAAAATGCAAAAAATATGGGACTTAAAATCAATGAAATATAACAGACAGATAAATAAGAGAAAGCCTGGAAAACAAATATTAGGCATATCATAAAAATGTCAAACAATAGCAAAATATTTGGCATATGATAAAAACATCAAACCGATGACAAAAGGGTACATTATTCAATATATGGCACAAGCAAAAATGATTAACTACATAAGAAAAAAGTTAAATCTCTCTCTATACCATACTCTTCTAAATTACAAAGTCAAATAAAAAAACCTTTAAGAACTAAAAGAAACTAAATGTAAATATCTAAAAAAATAATCTTAAAAGACTGGCCTATATATTTTTAAAACATGCTTCCTCCCCTCAGAAACATCCAAAGCATATGCAAAAATAAAAGGCTAATGTCAAACTGGAAAATAAGAATTGCAATGACAAAAGGCTAACATCCTTATATACCATAATTAGAAATCAGTAAGAAACAAAAGTACCCTACCCCACACCTCCAGAAGAATGCACAAAGGTCAAGAATAGTCAATTGACAAAAATACAACCAGCCAGTTAAAATACACCAAAAGTGCTCAACTTCACTAGTAATAGAAATATAAATAAAAATGATGAAAGAAACAATTTCTGGCTATCAAATTGGCAAAATTTTAAGAAACAGTAAAACCCAAGGTTGGCAAGGGTGTTAAGAATACTGGCATTTATATATTGATGGTAGATATGAAAACTGGGCAACCTTTCTAGAATGCAATTAATTTAGCAAAAAGCAGGGATGAAAAAGGCTTTCAAAATGTGCAATATTCTTAGAGCTAATAGGAATTTATCCCAAGCAAACAGTCAAAGATGGACAAAAAGTATGTCAGTTATTTATAATGGTGAAAATCCGGAAAATCACCTACCACATGAGGGATAAATTAAGTATTTTAATAAATAAAAGAACTATAAAATGGAATGCAATGCAATGGAATGCAATGCAGCTATTAAAATATCATGTATCACTGAAACACTGTGCATACTAATAAAAGACTGGAATAACCTAAATGCCCATCAATAGGCGACTGGTTAAGCAAATTACGGCGTAACAGTCAACAGAACACATTGGAAAGAATGAGGCAGCTCTCAAGTTCTAATATATGTGCCTCTCGACTCAGTCTGAAATAATCTTCCCCAGATCGCCACCTGCTCACATGACACTACCAGTAAGGCAGCCATCTCACATAATGCAACTTGCTCCCATCCCAAATGCTCTCCTCTCCTCCTTACCCTTCTGCTCTGCATTTTCCTCTGGCACATAACTGCTTATGTACCGTCTACCTTCCTCAGAGGAAATAAGACCCTGGAGGGCAGGGACTTTGGTCCTCTGCTGTGAACCCAGCGCCTGAAACAGTACCCAGCAATCAGGTAAGGTGTTCACCATCACGAAATACTGGATCAATGGATAGATATGGAACAATGCTTAAATGGAATAAACCGGCTACAAAATAGCAAAGAGTATAAAACATACAGACTTAGAAGATTATAGGTGGCCTCCGCTGCTGCTTGTTTTTTCTGTATTTTCTCGGGTTCCTATAAGAGGCACTCTTACTTTATCGCTCTCCAGTACACAGCGCGTTTATTTCAGAGTGCAGCAGCACCCCAAGGTCCTGTCACACAGCCACGGCCTGCACTGCCCCAGCAATCCCACTCCAAGGCTCCATTCTCTGGCCACAGGCTCCCATCCTAACCCTCGCATCACTGACTGGGGACTCCCGCCCCTGCGATTCCCCAACCTCATCCTACTGCTGTCACCTACTTTTTTCACTCTCTATCACCCCTTAGCTCTCTTGCCTTTTTCTTCCCATCACCTTTGCCTGGGGCAAAACCCTGGCCCTGGTAAACCCAAGTATCTGCTTACTCTGAACCTCACCCAAGAGCAGAACATGGCCAGAGAAAAGTCAGGCAACTGTCCTAACTCAACTCACTTCAAACTTATGACCAAAATAGCAAATAGGCATTCAAGCCTGCAACACAGTCCTTCTACACTGTGCTGACAAATTCCCTTTCCCCACACTTGAGTATCATTCTGCTCCTCGCTCTCCTCAATCACCCACCAGCTCTCCGCTGGTGACCTTACTCTCAATGGACAACCTTCCTGCACACTTCAGAGAGAAAACTCAAGAAACAGAGAACCCCTCCCCTTCCGACCACTGATTCTACCACCCATCTGTATCCACATCCTTTGCCTTCCTCCAGAACAATGAAGGACACTTCCTCACTCCTATTCCTTTTTTTCCCCTTATTTTTATTTATTTTTTTCCAAAAAAAAGGGCCTCGCTATATGCCCAGGCTGGCCTCGAACTCCTGCATTCAAGCAACCCTCCCTCCTCAGCCTCCCAAGTAGCTGGGACTACAGGAACCACCACACCTGGCTCCATGTTCCTCTTAAGGCTAAGCTCTCCAGCTTACCCCGGCCCCTGCCCCATGAGCGCACGAAGATTTCCTCCAACAATTATCCCCTTTCACTCCTGCCTTAACAAGTTCTCCCCCAAATACAGGATCATTCGCACTGGCAAACATGCACCTTAGTATCACAAAATGCCCCCCTCTGCCTTATCTCTGTTATCTCTGATCCCTTACCTCTCTTCAACCACTCTGACCCCTGCCATGACATTACCACAGCTTTGGTCAAGATCACCAAAAATGCCCTATGTCTTCCTGAAGCCAATGGCAAGTTCTTGGTCCCCTCTTGCCTCACCCCTCAGCAGCATCTGCCACGGCTAGACACTCTTTCCCTGAAGCAATCTTCCCTCAGCTTCCCTGAGATCACCAAGTCCCTGGATTTTCCCTCACTTCACTGGCTCCTTCTCCCCCGCACCCCTTCTCTTCTCCACCTACACACTCCTTCTAGGTGATCTAAGCCAGTCTGTGGCTTCAAATGGCAAGCATATGCTGATGAGTCTAAAGCTCTGAGCTTTAGACCAGCATCACCTATTGACTTGATAAAACAAAACTGATTCCGCATCCCTCACACTCCCCAAAAAACCTGCCCCACAAACCTTCCCAGGAAAAGGTCACATCAAAATCCTGAGTCATACTTAACTCTTTTTTCTCTCACACCCCTCGATGACTTCATCGGCAAGTCATAAAAAACTCTACCTCCAAAACACATCTGCATTCCATCACCTCTCACCATCCCCACCACCAGAGCCCTAGCCAGAGTCGTCGCCAGCCTCTTAACTATAGTCCCTGCCTCCATCCTTGACCACTAGCAGTGTATCCTCCACCCAGAACCCAGAGCATCTTTCTAAAGGATAAACCAAATCCCGTCCCTCCTCTTCTTAAAAGCCTCTAACATCGTCACTACACTCAGGCCAGACCCCTCCTCCCCATCAGGTGCACCTACCCCTGACTCATCTCACTCCACTCTCCCCTTCGTTTATTACCCTCCAGCCAGGCGGGTCTGCATCCTGTCCCTCAGACACCACACGTCTGTCCACATCTCAGCAGCCCTGCAGCTGCTCTCCCTTCCGCCGGGAGTGTTCTTCCCCCGTGCCACCTCCTTCTCATCACTTAAATTTCAACTCAAATGGCATCAACTGAGCAAGACCTTTCCTGGAAGCAACCCCAGTCATTCCCACCACATCTTCCGATTTCATCTTCTCCGCAGACACTACCTATATTTGAAATTTACTTATGTATTAGACTACAGGTTTACTGTCGATCTCGTCCCAGTAGAATGAAAAGTTCCTTGAGGGTAAGAATGAAATCTTGTTCACCGCTTACCCCTAGCATGAAAACTGGTACCTGACACATAGCAAGTATTGGATAAATACTTGTCATCCAAATGAATGACTATAACTGAAAATCTGAACTGTGATAGATTCTGACGTTATACTCAGTTTATTTTAATATTATATCAGAAATGGTGAAAACTGATAAAACAATACACAGTATGATTAAGAAATGGTTTCTTAGAGCTTTCACTTACTCTGTTAACTAAGACTCCCTAATATACAGCATAAAAAACACTAAAGATGATCTCAATGTTCATTAACAGAACCTAGCTAAATAAGAAGGGATGTAACCATACAGTGAATTGTATACAACCACTAAAGAGAATGAAAAAGACCTACACACACTAATATGGAACGTTGTGCAAGCTGTCTGCCTGATTGAAAACATCAAGTTGCAAAAGAATACAATGAATGAAATGTCTTTGTTTTAAGAGATTTTAAAATGCATGCATATTTGCTTGGACATGCACAGAAAAACTTCTTTAAGGGAACTCTACTAAAATTGGTTACCTCTCTAAAATGAGAAGGTGGAGGCTGAAGGAATCTTCATTTATCATTTACCATTAGAAAAGCAAAAACACTAGGAACTACCTTTGATTTCAGTAATTTAAAGCTCAACATACTATATTTTACTCTTTCAAAGGCTTTACAATTTCTAACTTTTTAAAACACACACTGCCTATTTTTTAAAGTGATGCATGATCTAGTGAAGAAAAATAAGTACCTGGTGTCTCAGGAGGACACTCAGGAATACAGAGCCTAGCAGACTTACAGGTTGGCTTACACAGCACAGATTTAACCCCTTCTCTATTCCTTCCCTCTAGAAAGACTGGGAACACTTAAAACATCACTTTTACAAGCTTCCATACACACAGACTAGGGTGAAAGGCTGACATGTGACATGGGACATACGCCTAGTCAATACGTATGAATGAATTTTTAGAAATGCTTTTGCTTTGCTAATTAAAAGGGATAGATATGACCAATCCTACCCTCTCCCTGCCTTATTCATGTTGTGAATGTGAATATGATATCGAGAACTACAACAGAATCTTATAAGGCAGCAAGAGCCAACGTTCAAGTGGAAAGATGCAAGCAGTCTGGGTGTCTGCTGGTATCATTCAACAGAAAAACCCTTCCTGTTACAGAAGAAAAATAAACCCCTATTTGTTTAAAGTACTGTGAATTGGGTTCTGTCACCTATAGCCAAAGGAATTCCTAGCTGATATTCCTGGGAATCTGTTTTAAAAA